GAGGTCAAAGGAATTTGTCCTGACTGTCCTCCACGGTGTCTAAGCAATATACAGCAGAAATATAGAAATGTGCTCTGAAATACAGCAGAAGCAATGGAAGAGGGAGAGGAGAGCAAAATGTGCCCCTGAACACGCAACTGTGCTTCTACCTGCTTGTGTTTTTGCTGTGATTTGTGAATTTCCAGAAAGTGATTGCTGCCATTAGGAGCATGTTGGGCAGCTCYGTTCATTTCAGTACTTCTATTTTTGATGGTATTTACCATGTTTGTGTTAAGAAGTCGAGCCACCAGAGAGGCAGGGGGAGAGTAGTTATGAGGCAGCTATGCTTGTCCTCTCTATGGATGCTGTGTTAAAACTTAGAAACCAAAAATAGTAGCCTCACTGTGTCTCTTTGTAAATCTCTGTGGAGCTGAAGAAACAATTCTAAACAGAAGCATGTTCTCCCTGAGGGCCTATTTTCAGCACTGAGTCCAATTATTTTTTAAATAGGGGCCTTAGCCCTCTAGGGAAGCCATAAATACATCCACAGCTGAGCTGTAGTGGACTATATATTCCTGATAATCTTATTAAGGGACTTCAGTAAGGCAAACAGGAGACTGCTTCCTCTAGTCAAAGTCCTGGCAGCTCTTTTTCTTGCAGTGTAGGTGATACTGCACATCTTGCTCCTGAATATCTAACTAGTGTTTGGCTACATCTAAGTTTGTCAGAATTTAATGTCCCAGTGGTTGAAATTGAAATATATTTTTTTGGATCATGCATGATGCAAATATTTTGTTTTCTCTTGCTAATTATGGCTAAGGTTGAGAGGTAAGAAACAAAACTTTTGATCCTTGGGGAAGGGCAAGAGATGAACAGACAGAATAATTTGGGATGGAAAGGAGCTCTGGAAGTCATCTGATCCAACACTCTACTCAAAGCAGAAGCTAATCCAAAGCTAATTGTGCTGTCCAGCTGAGTTTTGAGCCCTTGGCTTTCTGGGCCCCTGTTCCCTTGCTTACCCACTTTTGTGAGGAAGATGTTTTTTCTTTTTTTTCTCCTCATGTCTAAGTGGAATTTCCCTTGCTGCAGCTTTTCACTGTTGTCTCCTGTTTATGTGTSTACACTGCAGAGAAGATGGAGCCTAACTCTTTTCAGTGACATCTCCCCTCCCTCCTTTCCCTTAAAGTAACTGGGCCCCTTTGAACTTCTCTTCTCCAGGACAAATAGACCCCACTCTCAGCCTTTCCTTGCAGATCATGTGCCCCAGGTCTCTGCTGAACATGCCACAGTTTGTCAGTATTTCCTTGGTCCTGAAGAACCAAAAGCTAGACACACTATTCCAGATGCAGCCTCAGACATGCTGAGTRCATTCATTATTTACCTTTACCTGCCTGCTGCACTCTTGAGAACCCACAGCAATCTGCATTTGCCTTCCCTCCTGCAAGGGCACGTTTTTGACTTGTGTGTAACCAGTGTGCTAGGACTACCAGGGCTTTTCTACAGAGCTTTCTGAGTTGCTTTTCTGTCAGTTGGCCCCCAGCCTGTGCTGCTGAATGGAGTTGCCCGGTCCAAGGCTTCCTGTTTGTCTCTGGACCCCGTAAGGTTTGGGTCAGCCAGTTCTCTTCCACTTTGTTGAAGTTTTTTTGAATAACAATTTTCCCCTTCAGAGTTATCAATCTCTTTCCCAAGCTGGTGTCATCTGCAAGCTTGCTGATGGGGCTCCCTATTCCCATCTGGTAAAGCGACACTTAATCAGATGTTGCTGATAAAGACTCCAGTGTTGAGTCCCAAGGAGTTAATTGTAATCTGCTGCCAGTAACACTTTGTACTGTCATCTCCTAAACTTTAGCCTGATGGTCCCCTGGTGGTTTTTCACACAATTTGTAATGCACTTGTCTAGTCCCTTTATCCCCAGTTAGGCTATAAGGATGTTACGAGGGCCTGTGTCAAAAGTTTTGCTGAAGAAAAGGAGAAAAAAAATCCATTACTCTTCTCCAAATCAATCATTTTGGCCTAGAGGGCAGACGAGTTGGTCAGTTATGTTTTGCCTCTGCTAAATCCATGCTGGCTGGTCCCAGTGACCTTTCTGTCCTTCGTAAACTGGAGATGGCTTCTCTGAGGACYTGTGCTGTCATCTTCCCTGGGACTGATATGAATCTGATAGATTGTTCCCCAGATCTTTCTGCTTTGCTGTTTTGCAGATGCAGATAACTTTTGCTCTKTGCCAAACGTAGCGACCTCCTCCAGTCATGATGACCCATCCAAAAAACACAGAGCAGCCCCGCAATGCCCTTGGCCTCTTCCTCCAGCACGTCCATTCAACCAAAATTGTTTCCTGCCTTAGCTCTGTGTTTTCTCGTGCAGTGGGGGAGACTTATGCTGTAAKGAGGTATTATTTCAAGAATAGCCATTGTTTTTGTGCATGCCTTTGCATTTTAGGTCGTTCTCCTACAGGATCCTGCTTACTCATTTGCTAAACAAGCTCATACTGCTTTCCTAAAATTCTGGCTCTTTGTTCTGATACTTGCCTTCCTCCTTTCCTTAAGGTCTTCAACTCTGTCACCATATGGCCGCTCTATCTATGGCTGACCTTTGCATCCCTATGCAGTTCTTCCTTATTCATAGCAGATCCTACTGTGCACCTTGTCTACTTGAAGGAGTGCTGTGGGGGAAAAAATTCCCTCCAATGCTGTCCAGGTTGCCTATGTCCTGTTGTTTTGCCCTTCAAGACCTTAATAATGAAAAATTATTTTTCTAAGCTATCCTGCTTGTAATGCTCAATAGCTTTCAACCATGCTGTGTTTTCCCCTCTCTCCCACTCTCTTCTCTGTGTTTTGCTTTAACAATATTAAAAATTGTCCACTGACATGGTGTTCATTCTCGTTTTTGGCTCTGACAATTGTGCTATTTCTCTTGACTTGACTGTAGTAATCAAGTTTAACTTATTCTTCTGCAAATTTAGGTTGCCAGATGCTGTAGGCTGGGCAAGGAAAGATAAAAGGTCTAATTAATCTTGCTATTATTCTGGGGCCACTGCTGCAATCAGTTAATAATGTTATACATATACCCTTGTTCTTCTGCATAAAATTCTAGTGGAATTGGAGAGGCTTCAATGGACAAAGCATTTACTTCGTGAGGGTTTGCAAGATCTATCCTTTGTTTATATCAGTAACTATGCCCTGTTTTAAACAAGACTGGATTTACTTTGATTTCTAGATTATTGCAGGTTACATTGAGCAGCACATTTAATATATCTCATTGATTTTTCCCTGTAATGCTGCTGAGATGCAAGCTACTGCTCTAATTATTTGTTTTATCATTCAAATTATGTATGCTGATCTGGTCCCCTGGGATATCACTATGTAACCAGATACTCCATGATCGATTCCAACTCTGCAAAGAGTGTGGGATCACTTCAACACTTAGCAGTAGAGAACATCATCCAAACTGAATTTAAATATAATGCATTTCAAAGATAGAACTATGAAAAGCAGGGGTGTACAAAAATGTTAGATGGTTGTCTAATTAAACAAAGACAAATTCAAACCAAAGTTTAAGATAGTTTGTCGTGACTGCGTTTATTGTTAAAAAAGAAAATCTCGTAACTGTCACTTCAATTTGTAGGGTTTGTTCCATCTCAGCTAAAATAGCATCCCCATCAGCAATGACTGACTAGCAGCGTTTTATTAATGTGATACTTATTTGCCACCAAATTCAGGTTTGGGAAAGCAGCTTTCAGGAGCACTCTGAAAGTGTGCTAGCACCTGCTMGAAGGCAGGGCAGGTGCTCTGAGCTCATTGTGCTGCTAGAAGCTGGAGAGCTGAGGGCCCAGTGCTGCACCCCATTTCAGAAATGCAAATCCTGCTGGCCAGAAGAGCTTTGCRAGCTGCGCGTGTTAGACCCCAACGGCAGGACCTCCTTCCTGCAGGGAATTTGGCCAGAAGCATCCTCCCCGGCTGGCACGGGAGGAATGCAGCCTTGCTGTATAAACTGCCAGATTTACTGCCGGGTATTTGGAAAGCTGATGGTATACAGGAGTGAGAAACCTCTCCTAAATTCAGGTTGTCTCTCAGTAAAGCAAAACAAAGTCCCTTACAGAAGACTTCTAATGTATTTACAGATAGAAGGATGTTTGCATATGCTCTTAGTTTTATCAGTAAAAGGTCTAAATGCTGCTCAAATGTATGAATTTTCCTTTTTCTCTTTTTCTGCTCTTTTCTTTTCTTGAAACAAAGAGAATTTTGCGTTGCAAATTGCTTTGTATTTTTTTGTGTAACTGTGTTAGGTTGTGAAAAATTGCAGCTTCTGTACATAGGCATGTGAAATAGCRTATTCCATTCTTGTCGAGAGCATACAATAGCACTTCTTTATTTTAAGCAGTGGAAATCAATGCTATTCTTGGCTGCATTTGTTATATTTAAGTAGTTTCCTCTATGGGATGCAAAGATTTCAGATGCATATTTAAAAGGAACAAAATACTAAGTAACTTGATTGCAGACTAGATGAGATTTGAACTAGAGAGGAGTTCAGAAAGGTTACATGTTTTAGGCATTTTTCAATCAATATTTTAGTATTTTAGCTGACCATAAGGGACTTTCTGGGAGTAGGATTGTTCTGCAAACCGTGTACAGTGCTTCATTCGGAGTCTCTCCTACTTTTTTGTTTTTGTTGGGATTTTTTCTTGTTGTTGTTGATTCTAGGGGCCTTTCCTATTAGGTGACTTCAGTGTTTGACTTATTTTGAGGTTCTGAGGTACTGACTTCAGTAAAGTTAAAGGTATAAGTAAGAGGTAAAGAGTAGGATTCAAGCTTCAGAACTGATGTTGCCTTTCATTCAAATTGTTGTGAAGTGCCAGTGRAATAAATATTGCCTGATCAACATACTTTTATTGAGTAAAAGGTCAAGGGAGGAGTCTGTGGGTGAACGTTTGTGCATATTAGGATCATTTATTAACAAAGAATCACTAATAATTTTTAATATGTGAATGCAATATTGATTGTTTTCTTTTGTTGTGTTTTTAGGGTCTCATGACTCATTTAGCTTCTACATCGATGAAGCCTCTCCGGTTGGGCCTGAACAGCCAGAAACTGTCCAGAACTTTGTCTCTGTATTTGGGACAGTGGCTAAAAAGCTGATGAGGAAGTGGTTGGCTACGCAGACAATGAACTTCACTAGCCAGCTGGGGGCAGGTATTCGGTATTTTGATCTTAGGATTTCCACCAAGCCCAGAGACCCGGACAATGAGCTCTACTTTGCCCATGGTTTATTCAGTGCCAAAGTCAATGAAGGCCTGGAAGAGATCAATGCTTTTCTCACTGACCACCCCAAAGAAGTGGTCTTCTTGGACTTCAATCATTTCTACGGCATGCAGAAATGCCATCACGAGAAGCTTGTCCAAATGCTCAAAGACACATACGGAAACAAAATGTGTCCAGCGATATTTGCCCATGAAGTAAGTCTCCAGTACCTGTGGGAAAAGGAACACCAAGTGCTGGTGTTTTATCACAGCCCAGTGGCTCTTGAGGTACCGTTTCTTTGGCCAGGTCAGATGATGCCGGCACCCTGGGCGAACACAACAGATCCGGAAAAACTGATTCAGTTTCTCCAGGCATCAATCACCGAAAGAAGAAAGAAGGGCTCCTTTTTTATATCGCAAGTCGTGCTGACGCCAAAGGCTAGTACAGTGGTGAAAGGAGTTGCTAGTGGTCTTAGAGAAACAATCACAGAAAGGTAAGTTTGGGGAAGGTAATGTGTTTTGACTGTGTTGAATCTGTATGGTATTATTGCTTATCTAGTTCCTTTTGAAGAAATCCAGCAGGTGTGTTTCCTTTTTCCATTGTACTGTGGGATACAGTGGGAATTTAGGCATAATCCTAAAATATTTAAAGACAAACACATTTAAGGAGAAAYTTTTGTGTATTGAAAACAATCTGGTACTAAAGCCTGATGAGATATTATTGGATTAGCAAKTTTTTTTCCACGAATGAAGCTTTTTCTTTTGTTTCTTCTTGAGGGAAGACTCTGCAGATCATTGTAGTGGTGGTATAGATGAAATACTGTGTTGACAGGCCATTAGTTATTACATTACAAAAGCCACTGTCCATGCAAGGCACACGTTCTGACTTTGATAAATCACAGCCAATTTTCAGCTTAAAGGCATATATCTAGGACTATGTTCTTGACAACTTTGTGGGAAACCTGAAATTTAATGCCAAGACGTAAGAGCTGTTTCTAAACAGCAACAACAAAAAATGTTGTAAAGTGGAAAATTTTATAATGGGGATCAATGGCCTGTTAATGTTCTGCTCTCTGGATGGATGTGCCTGTGCCAGGAAAGTCTTTTGGGAATGCTGTATCCTGGTAGATGATGAATGGCGCAATGACTATAACACAACACCTGGCAATAAAAACATGCCTCATTTTTGAGAAGCACTTAGCCATTTGGATGACAGCTTTCCCAAGTGAATGTAGACTAGAGGAGAAAAAAAAARTCACCTGCCATGATAAACTGGTGACACAAAAGATTTTATGAGCAGCTGAATATGAATCAGAAATGCTTGTACAAATGTACCTGTGGTTGCTCGCATATCTGCCCCCTARGTATTGATAGTCTCCATGTGACTGGGAATCTCCCTTACTGGTGCATCTGAAGAGCACTTCTCTGTACAGAAATTCTACTTTGGCTATTGATTTTACTGTTAARCGATCAGATTGTTTGGAGAGCTCATTCTTGTTGTGTTATTTGCTCTGATAAACATTACTGTGTGTTCTTAATAACATGAAGTTGCACAGTTGAGAAATTACTTTTTTTTTCTTAGTTAGCCAGTAACATTTTTTCCTCTCTAGCTAAAAATGTGCTTTCTTGGAGCTCCTTGGGAGAAAATAAAAGTAGAAATATTGGATATGTTTGGATGAGTTTTGAATGACTTGAACTTTTGAACTCTTATTATCTCTTATCTAAATCAAATTTTGAGTTTATCACCAATTTATATACAATGCCAGTAAATATTAGGAAAGAAATACCTGACAGTGTTTTCTTTCTGTTTTTTTTTTTATTTCTCCAGATTTTAATGGAGATTTCTTGTGAGCCACAGTGTGTAATCAAATCTAGTCTAAAAATTTATTTTTCCTTCTTTGCGTGGATCTTAATCATTGCAAAACAAATTGACTTTCAAAAGTATCTTTAGAAAGTATTTTTCTTCCWGAGTGTGGTATCATCATGAAATTCTGTTACTGCCATGCACTGCAGGAGGACACAGGCTTGGAATATATACATTAACCTTATAGGTTAACTGAGCTCATATATTGAGCTTACTGAAATAACTGTTCTGAAAGTAGCCTTCAAGTGTGCTCCAAACCATTCCTCATGTGATGAGGATCCTGTTAAAAATAAACAGATGGGCAATTCAAGGATGCAAAGCAATTTGCAATAAATACAAAATTATCTCAGATATCACAGCATTAATATTTCAGAAAGGTAGGAAGTATGTAATCCATACCAAAAGCATCAGGGAATATGTACCAGCTGTGCTATTTGCTACTTTGCACCATCTAATTTTTTGTAAAAATGTAGTTTTGTTCCTTTCATAATAAATATGTAGCTCAGATTTCRCTTTTGTGTCTAGGTGAAGGAAAAACATAAATTTTCATTTGCAGTCACTTTATCACTTTATAGATTTATAAATTTTGATTTTAAGGTTATCAAAAGATACTTCACACTGAGAATATGGCATTTTGGTTTTGGCAGCAGTTTTGTAATGGTAGCAGGACAGGATCCTCCCCCCCTTTTTTTTTTTTTTTTGGCAGACTCATGGAATTTTGGAAGATCTGAATGCAGATCACTTCTGAAGATGTGAATCTGGATTAAGGCTGTATTTATCAAATCAGTGTGTTGTCTCTTTCTACCCCCTTCCCTTCTTCTTCTGCCCCCTTTCCCCACACTCACACCCAGTTAAGTAGTTTATCTAAGAAGCAGAGAAGTAGTTCTTACTGACATTTTCAAACAAACCCTTTGGTCTTCTCTCTCATTCCTCTCTGCACAGTTGTACTAAAATTTTGACTAACTTCTGAAAACAGAGTGAAGCTTGGATCCCTTTGGATCCAATGAAATACCAGATTTTCATTTCTAAAGTTTRTTACTCATGCAATGATTTAAGGTTTTAAGAGCAATGACCTGCTGTGCAGGGAAAACACGTTCTTCCCAGTTGCAGCATCCATCAGAACGGGAAAGGTTAAAGGAGCCGCCGTGCAGCAGCCCGTGCTCCTTCCTGCTGTTTTGCAGGCTGCAGCGTGAAAGAGCCTGATTAAACCTTCCTCCCCGGCCAAGATGAGGTGGTCYGTGAGTTACTGCCCTGTGGCCAGGCTGCCCATTGTGGCAGCGGAGCAATATCCGAGGGCAGCAGACATTTGGCAGTGATGCTCATGAGCTGTTTTTATCCCCAGAAATGAGAAATTATTTTCTTCCTGACTTTGTTTCGTACACCGTAGTGGTAGATGTGCTAGATGGGAGGCCCGTGGTAATCTAGATAAAAGGAGTTGCACATCCTCCTAAGATTAAATTCATCAGAGGATGCGTAACGGGACTGTTTCTTACTGATAATGACTGCTCACTGCCTCTGCTGTGCTATTACATATGATACTCAGTGGGATAATAATTTGGAAGCAGGAGAAATTATGTCACCAGGCTTTCTGTCCTGCACAAATGCAAGGGAGAAAAGCCATTTCTTATAAGCTCTTCCTAGCCCTGTCAAGTCACCATTACAGCTTTTGTCTTCCCTGCAGGAACGAGGACAAATTCTCACATGCTCCTACGTTATGTTTCTTGGATTTGATGAAAAACTTTGAGGACTAACAATATGTTTTCAGGCTTAACATTCTGTCATGCACAGTGTACATGCCAAGAAATATTCTTTGATTAGCAAACACTATGTACCAAATGAATTACATTTCCTCTGCTTATTGAATTAACTTCACAGTGAGGCAGCTGCCTTTAGTACCTCTGAAAGACGGTCGTGAAACAACCTTTTTGAGTACAGAGCTGTTCTTCGTATTAATCTRGTTTGTTTTTTACCTCTGTTTGGTAAATAACATTAGAGATAATCATGATATTCTGCTCTTTGTTGTCTCTGGGGTTGAATAATATACCATASAGGGCTCCTTTAGAGGACATAGAAATTTTGAAGTACTTCTAAAGCTTTTAAGGAATGGAAAATAAACAGATATCCAGCCTATTGTCAAATTAATCTCTAAGGATTATGTTTCCTACAGCTCACAAGTGACTAAATCCTTGCCCACCATGCTAAAGCTTCCCCCTTAGCAACCAAAGCAAAAATAAATAAATAAATAAATGAATGAATGAAATAAATAAGAATCCTGCACATGGGAAGCTTTGAARTGGAGGCAAAACATAGGCAGTATTAATAAAAGGGACAGTAAAGTAGGCCAGGAAGCTGTCTGGAGAAAAGCTACTCTGGGTGCCGTTATAAAGCAAGCAGGGTCAGATTTAGCCAGCACATAGGTGGATGTTAAATGAAAAATACTCCCAGAACTTGGAAGAAATGGGATTTTTAGTCACTTACCGGCACAGGGCATGGGGCTTTCCTCCTCCCAGCTGCATCTCAGCCAGCTTAATTTTTGAGAGTTTAGGTGATGCTGCAAGAGTGGGATTTTTGTGATGTTTCCAATCCGTAGCTTGTACTGACTGATGCCATTTTTGAATTATGTGGAAAAGGAGCAGCAGCAGCAGTGTTAACTGTGTTTTTATAACTAGGGAGGCATCCTTCCTGCTTGTAGCCGTGGGTCTGTCTGCACCGGGAGCTGCAGGAGAGCCGCAGGTTCCGATGGGGCAGTTAGGGGCCGGGATCCAGCTCAGCCGCCGCAGCGCAGGCACCGCGCGAGTCCCGGCACTGCCGACAAGCAGGGCCAGACTCCGGCCCTCACTAATGTACTCGGGACCAGCATCCCCGTTCCTCATTACATTGGGCTTTGGAGGCAGGTTTCCTTTTTTCACCTGGTGAAAAGCTGTTGTTCAATAGCCTGTTCCTTTATTATGAACTTTAAAATTACATTGTGCGATCCAACTAAATCCTTCAATTACCCTCATTATTTTTTTAGTCCATCCTGACAAAAGGCAATAGCTATGTTTTTGCACAAATGAGCACAGGGAGACCTTGACTTTGGGTCATGGATATTCAGTTACTTGCAGACATTTTAGTGTCATTTCATCATCAAAGAGCGTCTGTGCGGACAAAGATTCCAGCATAGTATTCCCCTGGGAAGTGCTGGTTGATGCTGTCTGATGGCTTTGTCTGGTCTTGAGTCTGCAATAGTATTAAAATGCCACAGAACAGCACAAGATTTTTGATAACTTTGTCAGGGAAAAGTATGTCTCTAAATACATACTAACAGCCTGTGGGATGTAGTCTACAAGGGAAGTTGACTTGGCAATCACCAGTCTTGTCTTTTCCTGGATATGGCATGCATATAACTTATCATGTTAGGCACTAAACCACCTATTTGTAACTACTGCATATGTTGTCTGGCTCCTCATAGCTTAATCCATCCTGTCGACACGCTCACTGAGCAGCATCAAGTTTGCATATACAGAAAGCAGCAAGTGTATTTCATTGTGAGAAGCAAATTTTCATTCCCACAGCCCTGCTGCTTTGTGCTGTCACTGCAATCTACTTGTCTCAAAGATGCCATGCTTCGATCCACGCAGCTGCTATAAT